CAGCTGTGCAGTGTCTCTCCTTTTGTGTGCAAGTGCTTATGTGTGTGTGTAACCTGACAGCCTGCCTCACAATAGGGGTCCAAGCGAGTGTGAACTCTATTTGTTCCCACAGCTGCCATTAACAGACGGAATGAACAGCCTCTCGCTAATAAAGTGAATAAATACATAACGCTTTAGAGGCCGTGTTTACCTCCTCAGTCTCTGTCGATTAGGGCCACTCAACAAAAAGCAGGAAGTGCTTTGGTTTCTGCCTCATCAGTGCAGTTTGGGTTTGTACACTTACCTTGGTAACTACAGTCACTGACAGTCAGGCTCTTTGGTGGAGTATGGGTTAGATGTAAAACACTGTGAGATCACAACAGAAGCACAAGCACCTGCAGACAGGTTTGATGTGCATTAACAGGAACTCAATGTTTCTGTCAGAGAAAAGGCCGACGATATACCTCTGTGTTTCTGTTATTGTCTACACAGGTCAAGTCTCTAACTGTGGCTCTCAGGCCCGGGTCGATTCATTCCAGCAGAAGATGTGCAGAATTAAAACAAGGTCATAAAAATATCAACTTTTTTTAAAAGCTGGGTGTTATAGTTGTTAGCAAACATTATTCAGACATAGGTAGATATTTGTTCATCAGGGAAATTAATCCCTGCTCATTTGTGGCAGCAGGATAGTGTGTTAGATTAAACTACAGTGTGTGTGTGTGTGTGTGTGTTATGTGTTGTGAAATAAATGTAAGAGCAGGTGATGATAAGACAACTGTAGTTTCACCCATTTTGATTTACTTTATTATAAGTTATGAGTCATTATTTTGAGATTTTTAAAGAACTTAAATTGTGTGCAACTGTGATTTTCTAAAAATAAAAAAACTAGCAGTGCAGCAAGACCTTAAATAGACAGTTCAGCCAAATGACTCAAAAACACTTTTATCCCAACTACCCGGTCAAGCAGCGTACCGGTGTGTTTGTATTTTTAAAGATATTCATCGCTCTTATTCCTGCCTTCACAAGAAAAACTTGAAGGTGAATTGATTTGTGGTGTCTGAGGCCCCTGGGGTCACCTCCTTGGTGTTTGGGGGGGTTCAGTGTCCTACAGATTTACAGTCTACATTTAAACAGTATAATTAAATACACTATTTTAAATTTGACAGTTAATAAAATAAAGAATACACCTAATATAGTGTTTTGAAGCAGCGTTTAGTTGAAAATGTTGTGAAATAACATTTTAACACTTTGCGTGTGACAAAATAATGTCAACTCAAGGTTCACTGACCTTTCACAGCACAATCTATTTGAGCTTTTTTAAACACCTTGCACTTTTTTATTTACAGCTGTGTACATTTCTAATAACTTCCCAAGAAGTTTCCTCGAGAGAAGTATGTAATTACACTAACTAAAGACAAAGCAAACCATTATTTTAGACAGTTTGTTTAGTTGTGTTGAGTTTATAAGCAGCTGAAGATTTCCAGAGGAATTTCCTTGAAAGACCTGGAACACCTAACTGAATAAATAACAACAACAACAACAACAACAACAACATCAACAACAAAAAAACAATTAAAGCACTTTAGAAATGTTCTGTGTGGGATTTTAAACGGTGACCTCAGAGTTCCTAAGATGCCAGATTTGGCTCACAGCATAAAAAAACCTACATTTTAAAAATTAAACAGCAACATCTCCTTCCAGAATAAGTCTCCTTGTTCTCACTGTGAACAGTTTTCACTGGATCTACCTTCCATTAAACAAACTGATTCTGTGTTCAGTGGATTATCCAGATTAACAGTCTGGTTCTGGTTAGTCACTGGTAAATTTCTCTAACGTCATTCATCAATACTTTGATGAGAAACATTGGCCTCCGATGATATTTGAAAGCCAAATGAGGTCAAATCAAAAGCACCTGCATGGCCCGATTCCACTGAAGGTACAGTACGCTGGAAAAATCTGTGCTCTTGTAACGTGGCTGAACTGACCTGGTCGGACGTCAGCTCCACTACTGCTCTTGGATGAAATAACAAATAAGAACTCGAGTGACGTTTATGGTGTTCAAGATGCTGATCCAGCCCCGAGAGGAAGAATGAT